TATCTGCTGGGGTGGCCTCTCCAGAGGCGGGTGTGGATAGAAGGAAGGAGGCCAGGTGCCCAAGCAGTTGGCTTTGTGAGACTGAGCTTCGTCTGGCCTCTATCCGTTGACCTTTCAGGCATGATTGGATCTACGGCTTCGAGAAGCCATCCTGTGTAACTCGCAGGGTCATTGAGGAACGCAAGCCATCACACCACGTCAAGGTGCAGTCTCGACGAGAAAAGCTGTTACATTTCCCCTGACATTTTTTTTGAAGCACAGTGATCCTAGTCTCTATGGTGAGCGGCATGACCAGTAAGTGTATAACACTCTAAAGAAATGCATTTTCATGTGTCTTTGGATTTCTTTGGAATTCAAGATGATCCCGTTCAGGTGGCCTACAGTTGGGCAGACACGTGATAAATTTCTGAGAGAATGTACGTCCTTTTAGTCTTAAAATTGTGCACTTGATTTCAGTCAACACTGATCAAATAATTCTGAAGCAGTTTTACAGTTCTTCTGATGCAATCTTTCAAAGTCTGACTTTCTCTCATAACATAATCCGTTTATTTAGTCATACTGTACTAACTGCAAATAACTGGCCAGGAAGTAGTACGAATACAAGCTGTGATAGACAATAGGAGTATTTGGCTGAAGAAAATGTTGGGGTGATTACACCATGTCATTTTAGTAATATCTTATTTGAATCCACGAACTGGACATCCGTTCCCAATGTATTTCAGTTTTCACGCACCGATCCGCTGCCTTGCGGATCAAGCTTTGGCTAGTTAAATGCTTCGGTTGTGAATTTCCTAAGAAACGTCACCTGCTTTGAACTGGGAAACCTAGCAGCATCGAACCCAGTAGTGAATTATGGAACTTTTCTTTGCAATAAAGATTAATTTACTGTGATTGAGTTGGCAAACAGTTTGAACTATCTATCATCTATGTTTGTAATTTATGGATGTATATATATATATATATGCAGTAATTACTGCATGAAGAATGTCACCTAGATTAGTGATCAAACGTTTGCAATATAATTGCCAAGCTCGGCGAACAACTGAACATCAATTTATACTACCCGAGCTGCAAAAACAACAATGAACACCGTTGTTGATATATAAATGTATATAATCATGTGTTAAGCCAGTAAAAAATATTATAGCGGTAATACTACACGTCATTTATAGAAGTTACATATGCAATCTGTGATGGGACTCTATTGTAGAGTAAAGAAAAGCTAACGACAGCCAACAGGTGGCTCCCTCAGTCGGAACATGAATCTTGTCTGGAAGGAGGGGTAGAAAGGAATCAAATGTCTGTTTGACCCACAAAACTGACTCCTTTAACTGAAATAAGTGTGTCTCGTCCACTCGCTTTCTCGTTACAACACATCGGCAGGGATGTGGTCGGAAATTGCTGAGTGCAACTGAGTCAACTTTGAATTTGGATCGACAGGTGTTATCAAATCAGAAACCTTCACTTATTCAGGGGTAAGCTGCAAAAGGAAAAGACAGAAGAGCAAGTATATGAGATATGTGCATTGTCAAAATGATACCTAACCGCTTCAAGGACAATCCGGGCAGAATAAAAGGAGATGAAGAGTCCCCGGTAAGAGTTGAGATGAAGCTTGTAGCTCAAACAGATGAAGCCAGAGAATGCGACTGAGGTCAGGGGAGCGAATTCTGTCACGAGACGAACTTGCCTCGGTCCTGCGGACACGGATCTCACGTGCATTCGCGAGAAAGATACTATTTTCATATCTACCGGAGGACAGCCGCGAATTACGCAACAGAATGTTCACTGCGCCACTGAAAACAGGGACTTGTTCCGATGAGCATCGAATTTTCCGCTCAAACCAAGTAAAATAGCATACAATTAGAGTAATGGTCCATAGAAGATAGTATTGACATTGATGATCATAACGTATAAAATCTAGTATAACCGTTATTTTCCAAAGAGCTTTGTAAGTAATGGAATGAAAACCTGGACGAAAAACGAACAGTCTTCCATGAGATGAGAAAGAAAACTGAAAAACACGGGTAACTTACTGTGCAATACAGCACAAAATTAACAAGTATATACAAAATTGGATCGAAGTCAGGGTAATGCTTTGGGATTAATAAAGTCTAACTAGTATAGGACATATGGTCGAATATAACCATGGACCTTTAGAAATCGAACACTGATGAGCGAACTGACACTGTGTATCCAGTATAATGTCCAAGGTTTGTCAGCGAACTCTGTGTGCGAAAACCTTTGTTCGGAATAAAAAACGTTCACTGTAATGAACTGTACAATAGTTGAACCGTCACGGTAACCAACATACAGAAATGCGGAGTAGGCATAACACAGTCCAAAACAGAGGCGCTGATTACCCACCGTAGCCGATATCCACCGTGTATTTTCCAGCTGGCAATCCGTCAGAAAATATATCCTGCGCAATTAGAATCCGATGAAGTTTTCGGAAGGTGGGCAGCGCAGCCAAGCGCATCCAGACCAGTAGTTCTTCGTCACCTTTGTAGGCTTCTGGCGATCGTTCCAACGCACTAAGACGCCAACTGTCTGGTTTCACCGTGTTAGCCCAACTGCTCGCACTGGGTTGACCGTATTTCTTTTCAACATCACTGCGCCAGGCGATCCCCTTATTGGTCAGGGGTACTTCAACAGGTGTAGCCAATGGATTGGAATCAGGACCGTAGTATTTCACACTAAAAGTGTCTGTGAGCAGGAGACAGAAGAAGACAGCGTATATGCATGAAAAGCGAAAGAAATCAACATTCACATCAATTATTTGGGGTCTCAATGCATGTGTCTACTCTTATCTACCAAAAGGTTCGTCCGCGGAAGCAATAAACAGATTAGTGCAATAACAACCGAAGATATCATACTAACAAAAACAAAAAATACATACGTGAAAGTGTGTGAAAACAGCTGAAGTGTACCAAAATGAAAAGATAAATAAAATTTTCTAGATCAAGAAGTGACCTTGACGAAAATGAAGTGACCAATAACGGACTGAAACTTGGAATGATTTCTGTGAAAACAATCTTTATTTTTAATTGCACCAAGGTGGATCAAAATGTACTCAATTTGTGTCCATCCGGGAACAGCTTGATGCGTCCAAATTGATCAAGTTTCGTGAACCTGGTTACTAACTNAAGTCGACCCCAGGGATACTATCCATAGAGTTAAATGCATTTACTTTACGGAACGGCATCTTCAGCATCTTTCGGGGTAGATTTATTACTCCGTTACCTAGTATGGACTCCAGCCAAGTGATTTGTTCGGGGTTTCAGGTCTAGCTTGGCAGATCCAGACAGCCGGTTATCTATTTAGCAGTTCTTTCGTCTTTTGTCATATAGATGGAACAGGATAGAAGCAGTGGGCTTAGTTAGTGGAGGGCTACGATCGCCACATAGAAGTATGATTTATATTATTTACCTGCGGAGAGTGCTAAACGCGCAAAGCCGCAACAGTGTATTAAGCGACGGCTTATTTAGTGACCATAACCTCACCTTATTCACGGTTAACAACTGGATTAGTGGCCGACCAATCCGCGACCTGAGGCGGCGGATAGTAGTGTTCCTACTTTACGCTGGATCAGGTCAGCAAGAATGAGGAAAATGTTCGCTTGGTGGTGTAAACGGATACAATGACATTTTAAGTACGATAGAATAACGTGATGACTGGTAAATACCATTGGACGGTTGTTTTGTCCTTCGTGGGACCAAACACCAGTGTGTACTGATTTTTGTGTCCCTGTCAAGATTCGACTCGCGAACCTCCGAGATTAGGAGTCGAAAACCTCACCTTTGAGATATAGGGTTGACAGTCATTATTATGACTGCGTGGTTATATGAATAAAATAATAAATGAACTTATATTGTTTATGCCGATTCACAAACTTCGGGATCACCGTGATGTGGTTTAGGAACGGTTTTCACTGAAGCCCCACTGATGTGAACAGTATTATTATTATTACTACAGAAAAAATGAATATAGTAAAAGGGGTAAACCCCATAATTCAAGGATAAGCTTACTGTATATGGGATGGTAGAGAGAACATTCAAACTAAAACCAACTTATTGGTTTTGCGTTCAAATGTAAGGATGTTGGAGGGAAGATCGCAAAGGGGAGTGTTCCACAGCTGTGATGTTCTTGGAAAAAAGATTACCGAAGGTTAAAAATGCAATACATGGGAATGATCACTTAAAACAGGTGGCTAGTCGCTCGTGCATGGGACCTACGAGGAAAAAGAAGTGAGAGACAGAAGAGGCAAGATCAAAAGGATCAAATTCAAAATACTATTAGCAGATTTTGGATGAGGAAGTGACTGTTCGGCGGTGAACAAGTTGCATGACGGGTATAGGTCGTTGATGAGACGAATGGCTTTGCATTGAACCCGATCGAGAAGAGACAAGGTGGAACAAGCTACACCCCATACGTGACTGCAATATTCAAGTGTAGGACGGATCTGAGCTTTGCGGAGCGGCAGCAGGTGAATGGGGATGAGGAAACTGTGGCGTGGAAGAGGAAGTCCCTCTTGGGCGCAACGCGAGGAAAGTAAATAAATATATGACGATCATGAAAGACAAGGAGCTAAGGATAGTTCAAATAGGTTGCACAAATCTGTGGAACAGAGAACGTTCGACCTAACATGTAAAGAGGGGGGAAGAGAGATTCACATTTAAGAAAAATGGACATAAGAGATGTAGATATGAACAGCATTACAATACAATCCTTTTCATTAGGATCCAGGAAAGTACAACTTGAGACCTTTTCTTCGGTTAAATATGTGAATAAAAAGATCAGTGCATCATAAGCCGAATCACCATCATCCTCAAAACCTTATAGACTGATTCAGTGAAGCGAACTCATCATTGATAAGCTAACACTGCATACAACGTAAGTGAGGTGTAAGGTGGGCAGGGACAGGGTCTGTCTTGGAGAAGAGGAAAGAAAGTGAACTCTTATAGTGAACGAAGAGTATATAGTTTAACTAAGCATATACAACTTTTCAAGCACTTTAGCCTGATAACGAACGAAAACAGGAATGTCGTCGCTGTCGGTTTCTTGCCGTATACTTTGTATTGTACTGTATTGTGTATAACTTTTGCAAGCACTGGAGCTCACATTTCAGTTAAAAAATCATACACGCTAACCGTTACAATGTACATAATCAACGGGGAGAAACGTTTTCACAGGCATGGGGACATTTCATAATCCAAGACAAAGTACACTTATTAACCGCACTTTGTCTATAAGTAGACGAGAAAATTATGGTATGGATGAACTGCGGTATACGTTAATTCGAGATGAAATTTGGTGGAACTGGAGTGTGTTTAATGATAGGAACGACAAGGTGTCAGTTCTGCATGCAATGGATGGTCAGGATCCGTGAAAATCCTCGCAGAAAATTTCACACAGGAAGTTACATGATACTCTGAAAGCTTTACAGCTAATTCATTCACAGAAATAGAAGTGACTAATAATGGTTAGATCGCAGCGTAAGACTTTGAAATCCTGTTTGAGTAAACCAGGAAAAATAACTGGGGAACAGTAGAGTAGGATGGGGAAAACACACTGATAAACAAACATAGAAATAACTGACTGGGATGCGTGAAACTACCTGAGCTTTCGTATTTGAAATGAAAGGCGCCGCGGTTTTCCAATGCAGTTGTGGATGTGAGTAGACCAATGAAGATTGCTATCTATGGTTACACCAAGATATTTAACAGAATTCACCCTGGACAAAGGATTGTTATTAATCACTGTGGGGTCTGTCGGATATGAAGAGCGAGCAAAACCATATAAACACACACATTTACTGGGGTTCAGGGTTAGCCCCAATGAGAACGACTGAATTTGATCAAGATTATCGGTAAAAGAGCTTAGATCAGAGTAAGAAGAAATGGGT